CTTGTAAAGTCTGTTTGTAATTTGCAATGTCTATGAAGTGTTTTTCGGAGATGTTTGCTTGTGGATCCCGATTCAGGCGTTCTCTCTTGCCCGTTCTCTCTTTTGTTGGTCCTAAGGGACAATGAGAGTTTCGGGGAGGCTGACCTTTGCGGACGGACACGCAAGGGTGCCGCACGACTTAGGCAAAACCAGCTAAGTCCGTATCACAACGGCGTCGTCCCGAGCTTTTCGGAGGCATGCTTTGCACGACCTTGTATCGTGCGGAAGGTAGTTGAGTTAGTTGGTCCGAGGCGTTGGGCTGACATGGTCCACCACAGCGTCTCTGAAATCTCCGTCGATGCTATCGTGGTCATGGGTTGTTGTCAAAGGGTGTGCGACCAAAATGCGTCCTATCACCTTGGATGCCCTGTACCTTCGTCTTAAGACCAAATTAGGCAACTCGCTATCAACGATACTCTCCCCACGACACTCCAGAACCTCGAAATAGTGTCCAACCTAAAGGACGCACGCTGCGACACCTTCAAAGTTGCAGCACATATTACTAAACCTCATGCGTTTGATGTTAGAGTGGGAATGGTAGGTTCCGAATTCATGTTACAGTGCCTCGAACCCAACATATATTTCGAAGAAACTACGTATCACTTAAATAATATTCTTATGAATTGTTCTCATTCAAATGTGGTCCGAGGGGACATAACCCATTTAATGTGGGATATCTTAGTTAGCAATCCAGTTTATGTTAATGGTCTTAATGAGGCTTACAAAAGATGTACTTTTTTTATTTATTAGAAATAAATATTTTAGGGATTTAAGCTCTTGTTTTGTCATTGTGATTTCGCTGTATGAGATGGTGACAGCAGTCGTATACCTTAATTCTGCATGCTTTTCATCTACTAACTACATGGGTTAGTAGATGAAAAGCATTGCATGGGTTTGCAATGTCATGATCTTGTTGGTAACACTTAACTACATCCAACATCAAATATGTGATCACACAAATTGATTGGAACTAAATCATTTGACAAACAGCTCTTGTTACTCAAATGACTTCAATGCTTCTCCCACTGTGTATGATGAGTCATTGTCTCTGCCATTGATGCTGGTGGTTGATAAGAGAGGAGTCGGTCAGCAGTGCTCGATTCAACGAAGCTTTAAGTCACATGAACGCGCACAGCTGCAAGTCCCTCACCTACTGCATTCATTTCCTCCCAAGTGAAGGGCAACTCACAGTCTCTTCTTACCTTACTGATTCATCTAAAGCTGAAGCTGAAGCTGAAGCTTCTGCTGTGTCTCTCAGTGGGGCTTCTTCATTTGCTAGGCAAGGCCAGAAATGAGAGTCCAGCTACTATTTTCCCATTACGTCTATAGAATATTAACATAGTGTTAGGAAACATTGATATTGGAGAACAACATACTAAAAAAAAAGACTAAAATTTATTCCATAATAGTAAAATTTAAAAGAGTCCAATTGTAAATTTAGGTTTGGTTCATAACTCAATAAGCTTAAGATTTTGAATTAAATTATTATCGACTCTAATATCAACTCCGACTCGATCGATTTTTACTCTCGTATTAGATTAAATATTTATAAAAAAATATGTGAGTAAAAAAGATTGAAAAAACTAATAATTAATTACATCGGTCATCCAAAAAGTTAGATTATATATATTAAGTTTGATCCATAATTCAACATGTATAATTTTTTAGATTGAATTGGTATGGACTCTAATGAATAAATAATGTTTAGAGAAAAAGAATTAATCACAAAGAAAAAAATCTTATTGATCATTACAACTCTTCCTCAACCTTACAATTGTATAGTCAATTGATCTTGTTATTCTCTCTCCTTGTCTATGTGTATAATAATCAGAGAGCAGTTAGATTATGGAATGTTCTTAAGCAACTATTTATTGCCCAAATAAATGCCATGGTCACAGGCATCTTTCTTGTTGATTCATTAGTTCTAATTCCACTTGCCATTCTACCCTACTTTTCTTTTGGTACACAGATGGTTACTTGCAGATAAGACTGACAAGTAAGAGACAACTCCATCCTCATAACCCAGTTATAATCCTTAGCTCCTGAGAACACTTCATTTCTGTTTTTACCCATAGCATTGCCATCTATATTTGTTGTCCAGAGAATTGCCATAGGATGTGACAATGAAAAATGAACAACAGCAAACCACAGAATTCATTGGGCAGGCCTTGAAGCCTACCCCCACCTATTTGTGATGTGATGTCTCTCTCTCTGTCTTGAGATAAAGTCACCTCATTTGTTCTAAAACACTGAGAACCTCATAATTGAACACTTTATGGCCTAGAATAGTTCTTCTTTCACATGCACTTGTCCTTCATGTCTGCTCAATAAATAGTTCAAGTACATTAAGTGGGACTAAGTTACCACAAGCATTGAGGACTCACTGTTTAAGATCCTTGTAGCCATCATTTCTTTCAGAATCATATTAGATTAAAGCATTTCCCCCCCCACTTTTGTGGCAGATCTTGTGTTTTTCTCTCTTTCTGTTCTAAATTTCCAAAACAATAATTTCAGAAACTAATGCATGAAATATGACTATACTTCCATTACAGATATTACACATATTTTAATCTTATGCCATAGCTAAAGTGTACTAATCATATTTCTAAACATGAAAAAGTATTCTTGTTTATTATTTTTTAGGAATAATAATTTCAAAAGAAAGTCCAAGGTGCCATGATATAACTTCTCTTCTGAAATGATTTTTTTTGGATGAAAAAAAAAATCAGTCTACAAAAATTGCATACAAAAACTTTGTAATCAATAAGGAGAGTCATGCTTTTTTGAGGTTGATGTTACTTGCAAGCAACAACTACATGGATACTAAGACACACAATTGTTGTTGTTGACATATTTATACTAAGACATACAAAAACAAGCAACAACTATATTTATCCTAATTTCCATCCTTGTTGACAAACTTCACAAGGCACCTCCCCACTCTTTTAGTATCTTTCTTTAGATCAATTCCATGAACAATTAATGCATTGATACTTAGCTAAAGATCATCAACTACTTAGCTGAAGAATATCTCTGTGGTCCAGGCATACATATAAATCATTAATGAAGCTAAAATAATAATGGTGTAATCTGATATGAATATAGGTTTAGGAAGGAGTAGGTGGGTGTAATAATGAGGCATTTGCTCCAATTCCAACTCCTCTCTCTCTCTCTCTCTCTCAATATTTACATCTCTCTTTCTTAAAAAAAAAAAAAAAACATATTTACATCTCCACATATTTGATTTCCAGTAGCATCTATCCCAATTAATTTGGGTTAACCATCATTAATCATGATTAGAAATAGTTAATTTATGTTAAAGATATAATTTTTTTTAATATCTAAGGTTCTTATCCCTTTTTCTTAATTATGTTTTCCACTTTCTTATGGTGCTTTTCTCTTTATATTTTTATATTCTATTTTTACTGTATACTTTTATTTTGGAAGGACATAAATAGTTTAAAAATTATATTAAATATTGAAAGAATTAGAGAATTGGAGCTGATAAGGATGGGTTGAAACAAACAATTCAATTAGCTGAATATTAATGTTAATTGGTGTTTCATCAACATTGTGATAACAATCAACTAATGAATTATTATCTACAATAACATATATATATATATATATATTGTTAAATATGAAAATCATTCAATTTGGAGGGATACCACACAAAAAAAAAGTAAACAACATTATAATTCTAAGGATTATAATTCAAAGGCTATGTTTGCTGAAGGAGGAGAAACTATACTTTTAAGAATGAATGGAAGCCAACAAGCTTAGGTTTCCTTTTTGTTTTTAATGAAATCAACAAATAAACAACATTTTCGCCTCTAAAAATATTTTCTCGATCATGCAATTCCAGGCTACTGTATGATGTAATTTTGAAAGAAAATGATTAGCTATTTCAACAAAGTCATATCGACCCCGTGGAAGGTTCACAAACACTACTCATAATCTATAATGTATTTCTATTGAAATGACTTATTTGTTATGGCCATTTAAGTATTAATATTATTCGTATATTGATAAGAACATATTTAGGATCATGTGGGTGGAGTAAAAGAAATAACACGTCGAGTTATGTTTTGAATGAAGTAATGTCCACTCCATGACAAACAATTCCTCGTGAATAGTGTGTGCTTGCATTGGGACACATTACTACTTTTTTGGGGTCCACCTGCAGTCACAAATCCCTCGCGAGCCCCATCGTGGAACAATTATCGATTTATTTCATTATATATATATATATATATATATATATATATATATATATATATAATATCTTATTATCAAATAGAAAGCTCATAATCATTACTAAACTATATTTCATAAATTTGAGTAAGCGAGATATGTCTTTACAAAAATCCCTCATATTTTTATAATCATAATAAATTTTTAAAAGGATTAAAATTGCTTAGTTCACTAATAATCAAATGATAATTAGCTAATTAAGATTCATCATAGTGATGTTTATGCAAGATGATAGATTTGGCAAAGATAAGTAACAAACCTAAAATTCATTAAAGTCTTTACTTAACTGACTCATACATTCATATTAAACTTATATTTTAAAGGATAAAATAGAAATAGCTCATATTTGTATGATAATATATATATATATATATATACAATATTATCAAATAAACCTAAGAAAATCTAAATAAGTGGAAGAATAATTTATAAATATATTCAGAAAAAAGTGACATTATGGGGGGAAAAAAAGGTGTGACATTGGAATGGAACAAGAAAAACTAAAAAAAGGTATTTCACGTGTGAATATTTCTTAAGGGAAAATTTCCAAATAAAATATAAATAAGGCGTGAGAATAATTGTAACATACTCTGAGGATTATATATTTATATCTAAAAAGAAAAATAAATATTATATTGATTTATAAATCTCACTTGTGGATTTTCCCTATATATATATATGATCAACCGCTCCTGTTATGCCACGGGAAGCGTCGTCCGTCCATTCGGATCCCACCAACGTCTCCAACCCAAACCCCTTCTTTTATTACTCGCTCCCTCTCCGATCTCTCTCGCCCTGATCGCTCTCGACGAACCTTGCATCGATGGCCTCCTTCTTCTCCTCCTCCCTTATAAATTAACGAAATCTTCTTGATTTCGTCGGGTTTCTCCGACTGATTCCGGCCGGCGGCCTCTTCCGCCATTGCTCGTGGTAGCACTTGCGTTTCGGTACTCCTTCGTTCCCCTCTTAGGTTATTCTTTTGTGGTAGTCATGATCCGCTCCATCGTTGCAAGATTCTGCTCATGCTTGATCCCTTTCTTCTCATCTTTCTCTTTTCTATCGTGGCCGTCCAAATCCGTGGATGTGCGTGCTGAATGCTTGCGGAGCTTGGTTCATGCTTGCATCTGTCTTCGTTGTTATGTTCTTTGACAACCAATTCTTGGATATCTGCGTGCTACCGTTGCATTCATCTTCTTTGCCGTCACTGAGCTTCACCTATCACGGGAATTTTAGGCTAACCTAACAAAATGGAATCTTTAACACGATCTTCTGAATAATCCATCTGCCTCAAATAGAAGAAAATTTTCGACTTCTTTGTCACCTTCTGTTGTTAAAGATTGCTTTCTTTTTGCAAAAGCTAAATATTTCAAGATATATTTTTCGGCGCAGGTTCTCAAGGCTTTCAGCTATGGCAATGAAATCCTATAGGTACCAGGCTGAGATACTGGTTAAAGACTATTTGCTAGCGGATCCATTTGTCCGGTATACCTCTGTGCTTGGAGGCATTTTTATGTGTAAAATGGTATGTCCGACCTCATTCTTATCTGGTCTTTGAATTCTTGGCAGTTATGGTTAGTGGTAAAAATGCATTGCTGTAAATTGAGCTCACTGATTGTAGAGAAGGAGAAAAAGGAGGAACTGGAATGACAATTCTAGAGGTAACCTGACACATACTATTAGCAGATTGTGCAGGTTTTCATGTAGGACTTAGCGTTCAATCATTTTAGATGCCCCGATTGCCATGAACTAAAGTTGGAATGGCCAGTCAATACCAACTAGCTGTTCTTTCTCAGTCATCATTGCAATAGAATACTGAATCATAGGTAATAATAGGAAGGTGCAAATTCTATACTTAGTTTTCCATGTCACTAGAAACCCTATGGCCTAAAATGTATATTATTTTAGATATAGTATCTCAGGATGTAACCCTTTCAATAGTGGATAAGTAAATGGATGTATAAATATGTTTCAGTGGATCCTGATAAGGATCAATGTTTGCCCTGTTTTGTCATATGCTGAAAAAACACCAGGTTTTGGAAATGCACTGCTGCCTCTCTTCTTCTCCTGCATAACCCTAGAGCTAGTGTTGTTCGTAGTGATTGAATTACAAGTGTAAAGCACCAAAACTTTTCTTTTAAGTTAGGACCAAATCAGTCCTTAGTTTAAGACGGTTTAAGATAATTTAAATGACCCAGTAGTTGCCTAGCATTTTGAATCCCAAGAATGGGCCTATGCCTATTACAGGGTGACTACCCTACCCTAACTCGAAAATGGTATACCTGTTTGAACATGGCATATTGGCCAATACATCCAAAACTTCTGAGACAAATTCTTGTTGTAAGCTATTACAATTTTAAATTACCTGAAATGACCAATCAAATAAGTTTTAAATGGACCCCAGCATCCATATGCATGTATAGTTAACTTGCTTACGTGTGTGCCTCTCATGTTACATATGTACCTATTTGTATCTGCCTTTGTATGCACACAATTGTGTGTCGTGGAGGTCAAAACAGATTTTGGTTTTACCCTATACGAACTACGAAGACAGGCTGTTGTAAGCCTGGTATGAGGTAGGCCTTTTTTTCATGGAAAGGGAAGATAGGAGCAGAACTTTTCAAAAAATTGGATATAAGTTGTGGTGAACAATTTGAAACACTGCTAGAGAAAGCTACTAAATGGGCTATGGTTTTGTCACAAATTCTGTATTGGAACTTATATAGGATGTCATGAATAATTATATTGATCTCATTTTTCCTCTGATTACTCTATGTTTGTCTTTCAATCAGAGACTATCTCATGTACTTATGTACATGTGAAGCTGACTCTGATGCTATGTTATCCTTTGTGCTTATAGTTGATGGATAGTTTTCACTGTTTGTTTTGCTTCTTTTTTATTTTTCATAAGGTCGTAGTACTGGAATTAGTCATCTTTGAGTTAGGACCTCATGGCTTTATTGTTGTTGTAGTCATCTTTGATTGTCTACTTACTGACTGCCATCATTTGCTTAGGCATATGATTTTACACAGTTGATTAGTTCTTTTTACTTCAAGGGGTATGCTTCACTTACAAAGATCCAACGGATTGAGTGGAACAACAGGTGAGACATAATAAGCTTGTAATATTATTTTCTTGTTAACTTTTATATCAATTTGAACCAATTTTGCAGGGGAATGTCCAATGCTCATGCCGTTTTTATCACACTTATGTCATTATATTTGGTATTCTTCTCGGAACTATTTTCCGATAGCATTGAGGGCCTGGTTACATTCAGAAATTCTAATCTTTCTACTTTTACATTGGGGGTAAGAATTCTTAACAATCGCTAATCATTATGTATTTGTCTTTACTGCATGATTTGTGAAGTATTATAAATTGGACAGGTATCTGTGGGGTATTTCATGACTGACCTTGCAATGATATTTTGGCTTTATCCTTCCCTTGGTGGAATGGAATACGTGAGTAGTCATGCGAAAGCTTCATTTAAGTGCTCATCTTCCTCTTCATTTAAACACTTTTACAGAACAAAACTTAGCTTGTTTCTTCACATATTTCATATGAAAAAAATGAATTGGTTATCATAGAGGTTATATTCACCATCTAAATGTGACATACTTTTTCAGGTTCTCCATCATGTGCTATCTATAATTTCTATATCTTACTCTATGTTGTCTGGGGAAGGACAGCTATACACATACATGGTCCTCATCTCTGAGACAACCACCCCTGGGATTAATTTAAGATGGTATCTTTCCGGACGTTATTGAAGTACTTCAACATTGATATGGCCCGAGGATATTTAGATGTTTGGCTTATTAACTTCTTTTCTTCCTTTTTCCTTGTAAGGTTTCTTGACACTGCTGGAATGAAAAGATCTAGTGCATATCTTGTTAATGGTGTTGCTATGTTCTTCGCATGGCTTGTAAGTAGTTCCTTATTGAAGTGAGTTTTAATATAAATGCTGATGACACTTGACAGATGTGTACATGTGTAGGAAACACATGATCTACCTATGATCATGTGTAAGGTTCTATCTTTATACCTATGATCTACTGATCAAGGACACACCTCTTTTGATTAGTTGGGTCCCATTTTTTTTTAGTGGGGCCCCAAAAGTGGTTGGACCTGCATATTAGGGCTTCTAGGCAGGTTTGATTGGTATGCATGTGTGTCTGCTATAGGACTAATGTATAATTGTGAGAAGTATGAGAACAACAGAAATTAGATGCAATGACGTTTTATCAAGTTTTCATTTGAGATCATGAACTGGCACCTCAAACAGAATCTAGAAATCGGATGAATAAAATATACTTACTTAAAAGAAATAGATTGACTAACAATGTGGTTTGATTGCATACGGATGGAGGTAGCAAAGTGTAGACATTCGCTGAGTTATAAATTTGTATTTGTGAGCCTAGAGCTACAAGCCTAGTATAAGGTTAAAAACGTTAGGTCCATGAAGCTACTGCAGCAATCTATTTTTACTATCTTTTCTTCATTGTAACAGGAAGTCAGCTCCATTATGAAAACAGAACGGGAATATAGACACGATAACTTTAAAATTTTAAAATGGTGCTACTGTGTTAAATTTGGAAGTACATTGTCTCTCTTCCACTATGGTGATCCTAGTTGGTCTGTCCGTTTATTTTGATTTTTTTTTCCAAAATTCTGCTATCTTTTTTACATGGCTATTGCAATTTATACTGGTTAGGATATAGTATTCTAAAAGTGATTTATCATTTTGCAGATTGCTAGAATATTTTTGTTTCTCTACTTGTTTTACCACATCTATTTGCACTACGATCAGGTATTTTTCTAACGATTCCTTGCACAATCATATACAAACATGATCTTTTTCAACTAATGCTTTCATGCTCTCCACTTGTGTGTGACAGATTCGGCAGATGCATACCTTTGGATACCTCCTCAGTTTTCTGGTGCCCATAGTATTGTTTGCCATGAACATGATGTGGTTTGGAAAGATTCTAAAAGGGCTCAAGAAAATGCTAGCCAAGCGGCAGTGAGAGTTGAAATTCTGATGTTCATATGTTACTGAAGTTCACACCTACAACGGTAGATCCTTGTAAGTTCTCTTGTAAAGTACAAAGGTTTAGGCAAGGCGAAAGAAAGGAAAATGACAAGCTAACTAGCAAGGGAATTCGGATTGTATCTTTTTCAGTTTCAGCTCAGTTAGCATACATGAGATTCTTAACCTGGTATATCTTCACATGGATAGCCACATGGTTCATGTTATGCATCATGTTGTTCTTTGTGTCGTGAGGTTTTGGCTCATGGAATCATGTACATGACTCGTGAAATTTGGTTCTAAGCAGAAGCTTGCATCTCTAATCGTGTGCATCTGTTAGTTTAGCTTGCTGTATAGCTCCTAATCCTTCCTGTTTCCATTTCTTGCTGGACTGAGGAAGAACAGTTGATGGTATTATAGTTCTTGTGGGCTTGTGCAGGTCATCAAACATCCAAGTTTCCTGGTCATCGAAGGCTCTGCCAAAGGTCAGGTTCGTGTTAGATGCCCTTCACAACCCATCTAAAGATGGAAATAAATCTTGGCATTGTGAAATCTAATTGTCTAATTGTTAATGAATTTGGTAGATATTCATTCATCTCTCTATTCTCCTGTGTCATGCACGAACGTAAAGTAACTTAAGAATCATTGTAAAGCACATAGAAACAGTTTAAGATCGTCACAGTTGTTATCATTTATCCGTAAGAAACATTAAGCAAAATTATACTTATTTATATTAAGGAAAACAATGCAGAAAGTATAATTCGTGTTTCGAAAGCATGATTTATCAAAGTTCACGAAAAGAAAAAACAAATAATAGAAATATAATCTTAGAAGCACAAATACCTGTCTGTCCTCACCTTCACACCCATCAACCTCGAGTATAGTATTCTGGTGCACAGTCTCATCTATCAAATGCTAAAGAAGGTTGGAACAGTAAACAAAGACTAGAAAGTAGAGAAGGATACATACGACAAGAAATCAGTCAGTAATCAATGAGCGAAACGTAAGCCCTTTATGTTTGCTCGACTTTTAGTATTTCTAAACGGCAACGCAGATGACAATAACGTATTATCTATCTTATATGTTTCAGATTAATAATCTCACACAAAACTCACTCACAGTTGATCATAATTAATGGCTCACAAGAGAATAAAGCATTTTATCGAATCACACTAAACTCACTTTGTTGCAGCATTGAGAGGTAATTTTGGTAGATTAGCATATATTTTTTTTCATAAATACTAATTTTATTCTCATTTTTAAATATTTTAAAACCCATTTAGACTAACGAATCATTTTGATCAACCCCTACTTTCTATCACTTCGTCTCCCTCTCCACCTTCACCTCCTTCTCTTCCTTCCACATGAGTTTTATTAGAATAAAAAATGAAAGCGCAATATAATAAATTATCTATTCGATCACTATCATCGATGTGTTTCTTTTGGCTGGTCTTTGCTTGTGCAAATGTTTGCTTCCAAGGTAAAACAAAAGTCTTCCAACTATTCAGTCACTCGTTCGCAGCTGCACCCCATTCCTATCCATCTTTTCGTAGGATTCTTCTCAAGTGGTACATCCAATCCTCTTCATGATCACTATCTTCGATATGTTTGTGCAAATGTTTGCTTTGAAGGTAAAAACAAAAACTCCTCTGTCAGAAAATTCAGTCACTTTGTTTGCTGCTGTAACCTTTTCTGAATAGGGCCAATCATGGTCAACTTATATTCAGCCATCCATCTTCTTGTACCGTTCTCCCCCGAGTATCACATTTGATCTTTCTCACGTTCGCTATCCTCGATATTTTTCTTTTGGCTGGTCTTTTGTTTGAGCATATGTTTGCTTTCAAGGTTAAACAAAAGTCTTCAAACCCTTCCTCCTTTTCCATTATTTTGTAGTATGCATGAATGATCACATGCTCCGCTAGCTGTGTTTGAACATTAATGTTGGGTGCTTCTTCTACGTAGCCACCGCCGAAGGATATTTCTTGAACGTACACATCGATATTTATGTATTCTGAATCATCTCTTAATCTTATGAACAGCATGTAAATTAAGCACACCCACAGAAAAAATATAATACAATATATATATATATATATATATATATATATATATATATATATATATATATATATATATATATATATATAT